TATGTGAAAGTTAGGAAAATGCTGCTAACTTCCTATTACAATGTACTGCTTTTGGAGTCTACTGTAAACAATGCACCTTACTGCAATAGGCACTATAGGGCTATATTGTAAATCTAATAAGTACTCACTATTTGCTTGGGATTCCCATTGTAAATTTGAAACCTGGAGTAGGCGTTAAAAGTTACATTTTTTTATTTCAACTTCTAATTTTCATTTATATCTTAAAATAATTATTTGTATATTTCACATTTTAGATTCGGGATGTGATATATAAAGAGTTGGCTAGTGGAATCAAATATGACTATCGAACAGAGGTACAGTTAAATGATCAGTCCAAAAATAACAGTTTTTATGACAGAGATGCCAGGGGATGGTCTACATCATTAGATACACTTCAGAGAGATGTAAGTCACGTGTGGTGGACTCATTTTAAATGTATCTGGCAACAATGCAAGATAAATAGACTTTTTGGAAGTTAAGTTGGGGGGGGGGGGGGGGGGAGGAGTAAAAGCAAATAAAACATGTATACTGCTTTTGCAAAATTCATTTTTAAAATTCATATTTGTTTGCATTTATATCTAATGTTGTATGTGTTTGATATTTCATGCTTAAAAAAAAAGCTTTTATTGAATTTTTCATAAGGTGTTTTGAATTGATAAATAGTTCCTTATCCATTAAAATGAACTGCAGTGTATTAGTATTTTCAGCACCACTTTTGAAACTTAAACAATAAAGATACCACACACATTTATAGCTTATTAATTCTTGCTGATCACACTCTGTATGGGCACTTTTATATATAGAGAGATATTAAAACTGTACAAAGTCATTAGTTTTCCTGGTTAATTTCAGGAATCCCTATTTGTGCTTGAAAAGCTCTTATATATTTTAATTATAACATATGAAATATGTATTGATTTGTTTTTATTCTGAGTATTTTATTAATGATGTTTTGAGATTTGTAAACAATTTATTAATGTTAACTATGTCTTTTAGTGTCCCTAAATTTGACAATCTTATAGTAATAATCATATTACATTGTAATTTATCACCTGTAGTGTTACTATAAGCCATTTACATACCAACTGTCATTTTCCTTTTGATATTAAAGATGCATTTCTAAATAATTAATAAATATAAAAAAATAACTATTTTAAAAAACAAAGCTTATATTAAGTGTACTTGTATCAATTAATTTGGATCAGTCAATTAAATAACAATAAAAAAAAACATTTATAACAATTAAAAAAAAGGGGTGGAACAACCAGAATTCAAACTCTTGGCTCAAGGCTTCTCTAGCAGACATGGTAACCACAAGGAAGATTGTATAGTTATCTATTATTTCTATAGTCTCATCCTATTTTTCAGGTTTGTGTTCACTAAGACTCAGATGATGACCTATAAAGGGGACTAAATCAGCTTATACCACAGCTTTAGTCAATTACAATTTCTTTCCCTTGTTTGAGATACCAAACAAAATAATTAATTAACTGATTTGTTCATTTTTTTAATTGACTCTTGTTTGGTCAGGTCAAAGAAATATCTGCAAATTTTCAGCTTGATCCAAGTTTGGGTGTGGAAAAATAATGTGTACAATTTTTATTTAATTTTTTATTTTCATTTTTTTTAATTGACTCTTGTTTGGTCAGGTCAAAGAAATATCTGCAAATTTTCAGCTTGATCCAAGTTTGGGTGTGGAAAAATAATGTGTACAAACTTTTTACCAGACAGACATAAGCTTTGTTAAAAACATTCAGTGCTGTAGACTATTAATGGAATAAAATCTTTACTCAGACATGCAGTCATATCTCATAAAATAACTTGTATTTATTCTTTAGCTTCAGTGCTGTGGCGTTGACAATCACACAGACTGGTACAACATTCAGGCTTGGCCCAATGAGCAGAAAGTTCCAGACTCCTGTTGCATCCATCCATCAATTAATTGTGGGTTTGGTGACCCATCCCTTTGGCACCAAAGGGTGAGTTTAGATTTTACTTATTACATGAGTTTTGGGATAAGATTTGAGCAAAGTTTTTCTCAACTTTTCAAACCAATGTAAATCATTTTTAACATTCAAAATGCATGCTCTTGATAGTATTAGTATTTTTTTCATTCGTATGAGGCCCTGTGTTTTTATGAATTTTCTTTAGGCCCCATTAGAACATTATACAAATCAGTTTTAGTTTGCTAATTTACACTTCTAACGTTATCTATAGATTGATATTGCACTTTTGAGTCTAAGTATAATTTGATTTTATATTATAAATTTTAATTATATATTAATTAAATTAAAAAAAAAAGGACTTTTATGTCTACATTCCTAAAAATAAAAACAAAACTTTTTAAATAGTAGCAGTCATATTTGATTAAATGCCCTTTCCTTTTTATTATTGTGATGTTGTATTATTGTGCCATGGGAACAAATTTATTTTTGTATAATTATAATTTGGTTCTAAGGGTGACACTACAGGTAAGTTTCACTCTATGAATTTTGATTCTTGTACTGTTTTATCTAATGACTGCTGACTCTTGGACTCTAGGGTTGTCTTGAAGAAGTTGAGTATTGGTTTACCAGAAACATGTACATTCTGGGGGTGACTGGAGTTACCATTGGATCAGTACAAGTAAGTTTATATTCCAATCTAAATTAGTTTATTGTAGTGTCTTCAGTTCTTTTACAATCCTAACTCTGCGTCGTGCTTGACTGAGTTAACTGGACAGGTTAACAAAGTAGGTCACAAAAAATAAAAAATGTGTTATCAGTTGCTAAGAATTTTCAATTAGAGACTTCAACCAGTTGTTTTGTAAAGAAAGGTTAATGTGGTTTCTGGAAGGGTATTTTGTAAAATACTATTTAAGAAAGACTGAGATGCATATTGGAGTCATTGTTGGTCATTTCACAGTCAGACAAGCTCCAATATTGTTAGTTCATTGTAATAATATTTTAATGATTTATTTTTTGTTTTTATCCCTGATTCATTTCAATGTTATGATTCTTCCATTAATTGATTTTGACTTCAATGAACTACATACTGTTACTTTGTGTATAATTGTCCTGTTGAAATAATACTAATAATACAAATATTGAAATAGTTTCATCTAACACAACACTCAGGGTTTTCACTAAAAAGGATTTGTGACCCAAACAAGCTCTTCTGATACAAAAGTTAAAGAAAAACTGTTCATGATTTCTCATTGCATTGTACCCATATGAAGTTAAGAGTAAAAACTGCATTCTATTCCAACCATGAGCTAAATACATTGCTGTAAAGCCGTTGTCAGATCTAGGTATTACATGTCTTATATTTATAGCATTTACTGGGCATCTTTTGGGATTGAAGAAAGCTGCATTGATGTGTAGTTCATTGAGCATTTATTTGATTTAATTTTTTGTTACACTTGGAACAATGCAGCTTCAAGAAATGTCTCAATGTTCATTGTCTTTCATTTCAGATCCTGATCATGGTAGCAGCAGTAGCACAGTTCTGTTACATTCGTAGCAAAAGGTTTCCCTTATAACCACAAGTGTCTGGATCCAGCAGTTGACAGTCTAGTGAAATGTTTACTACCTGCGAGCCAGCATCAGTCACTTCAAGTGAACAGAAACATTGTATAGTTTATACCTGCCAGTAGACATTGTACATTTGATGATACATGGCATTAGCAAACAAATCATTATTGTTGTAGCGTATACTTTGTACACCAGGTGGCTCTTTGGGCTGTCATTAGATCTGTGTAGTTTAAATGAAGACAAGTAGATATGAATTCCAAGTGGTACAGTACACACCTATCAATACTTCCAGTCATAGTAATAATGGCTAATTCTTTAAAGCTACACAACAGTTTGTAAGGACATGAACATGAGCTATTTTTTTTTCATGGCAAATTTTTAATGTGTATCTTTCAGTTTCTTTAACAATTTTAAAAGTCCAATCAGAATCTGATTGTTGGCTTTTGTGCATATTTTCTTACACTGTTATTTCATTTTATGTTCTAATGATTGTTTATTAATAGTTCTGACATTTAACAGAATGCATTTATTTGTGTAAAAAAACTGGGTTAATATGTCTGACTTTATTTGAAAAACAGAGAAAATTAACAGATGCTCTGATAAACCTAAAAGACATTATTTTGACTTGATACTTGCATTTTTGTAGCAGATTTCTATGGGGATCCTTAAATGGAAAATTTAAAATTATGATTGACAATTTTTGAAGGATTATTTTCTGATAATCAAGCTTGAACTTGCTTCCAATTTGAAGTTTCTTTCAGACAAGACCAACAACTAGCTGCTCCATATCTGTCAGGACACCTAAGTGTGTGTATGACACATCTCCTCAGCATGTGTCAGTGCACTCAGTGTGTGTGTCAGGACCTATGTCTCCTCAGCTTTAATGATATTGAATTTATATGTTTATTGTTTTGTACTTGTTAATAGCTTTATCACATTTAATGTAAAGAAAGAGAAACATCTTCTCTGAGTTTTGTTTTGATCTTCACTTAAATGTGTTTTATTCTCTGTGGATATTTTCAGTGTCATTTTGTGGTCATTTTCTTGACTTATCTCTGTTTATAATTTTTAAATTGTAAGTTATTTATGTAATGTACATCTGTATAAAAATTATTTTTTAAACTCATGGTAATCAATGTAAAAATAATGTCAGAAGCAGATACATAGAAAAGTGTTATGGTTCATATTACCCTTACTATATATCAAGTGGTAGTGATAAGGATGTGATGTATAGTGCATAGAGTTAAGGCATATAGTTCCAAATGGAGACACAGTCATAAACAAATTTTTGCAGTAGATAAACGAGAAAAACAAAAATACTTTAAAAAAAAATAAAGCTTATATTAAGCATAGTTGTATCAATTAGTCTGGATTAAATTTGCAATACATCTAGACTAATAATAATAAATTTGTGTAATTACAAATATTTTTATCAATTGTTTTTGTTTCTCAATATGCTATGATCCTATCACTTGATTGGGCCAATTGGAAAAGGGGGGGGGGGGGGTGTTTCCATAAATAACTAGCACTGCACTACAATATAAAACCACATCTACTGTACATAGAGATATAAAACTCAAAGACATTACTCCACAAATACTCTTACCAGCACCTCAAATCATGTGGACAGACTTAACTTCACTATGTCTACATATTTCAGTGTCAGTCTAAAATACACTTATTCATGCTACAGATAGGAACTATGCATTGAAGGTTTACTGTAAAGAAGCAAGCTTTTTATTTTTCTAAAATGCATTTTAAATGTGTGTACTATTCAAATAATGATTGGTATAGAAATGGCATTTATTGATTGTGATATTTTTTTTTAAATTGAATCAATATTTTTGTTTTCTTTGTTGATGAGCTTTGTTTATTTATACATGTAGAGAATATGTAATGTATAATATGTAATATGTAATTCATTAAAAGTGGAGGAAATTTAAGAACCAAATATATTTTACATTATTTGCCGAATGAAAATAATTTACATTGAAGTTGGTGTTATCATTTACCAGGTCGATCAATGATTTTATTATAATGAACTTTGTATTAATTAAAAAAAAACAACTGACTAAAAGGTTTTTTTTTTAAATTTCTGACACCAAAACAAAAACTGACTAAAACCAAAGGCTTGTCTTCAAGTCCCAAGATTTTATAAGATAGCATGACTAATATGATGACACTTTTGTGTCAATTAATGTTCTTTTTTTTTATATATTTTTTTATAACATCTTTTTTTTTTTGTTTGACAGTTGAAATTAAACATGAACAAACAAATTAAAGGTCTGTATATTGTAAATAATGTGTTAACATAATACGAAACTTCATTTGAAAGCAGATTGTCAAAAAAAAACAATGTCATAAACTGTTCCCATATTTCTAGCAAAACTAATCTTTAAAACATGGATGCTTTGATGATGAAACAAAAATAAATCTAAATGTAATTGTACACGGAACAAAGAAATCTAAAACGTTATTAAACAAAAAAAAAGGCGACTACAAAAATGAAGAAACTAATTCATAGAGGGACGAGGGTAGAGGTGAGGGTCTTTTCTAAAGAAATTAAATAATTAGTACATCAATTTAATCCTATGTGCTACCTGTTAATATTTGAAACTATTTATGTGCCAGCCTCACCCCCCCCCCCCCCTCCGTTTTGTTTCCACCAATAAATTCATCGGACGTAGTAATCTGCAACAGGTCAAGGACTTTTGGAACCACTCGCTTGGACAAAAAAATTGGTTCGACCTCCACCATGAACCAAATGAAATGAAAATATTTAGCATGACACGTTAAAACAATAAACTCAGTAGTTTACAAATACACAAGTAGCAAGTCTTACCAGCTCTACTTTATGGGCGCCATGACTTCCTTACGCTGCCTTGACTACTGTCTCTCTGTCTGTTGATCAATAGTGTTTGAAAATATTTAATGCGCAGGTGTTATTTTTTTATTTAGTGCAAATAAAAACGTTAATAATAAAGTAGTGGATCATTTTAAATTGTTTTTCCTCCTTTGCATTTCGTTGCTGATGACTTTATTTGAAGAGACACTTATATATTTCTCTTTCATTTATTCCGGAAGTGACGTATTGTCATACCGGCACTTAATATTTGCATTTGGTAATTGTTCAAGTTTGGAAACTTGTCAGAGTTTAACTTAAGTCATTGGTGAAAATGCATAACTATATTGACCCAGCAACACGCGTAAGACGCAATCATCTTCTGTATTTCATTAGATAAAATATAAGAGTGCGCTTGTTGGTCATCTATCACACTGGCGCTTGTGGTCAACTGAATACCAGTTCTTTCTGATATGAGTGATGAAGTGTACTTTTGAATGTCATGAAATTGAAAGATCAGTTCTCTCCTAGAGTTTTTTTAAAAATTAGGCCTATAGCCGTCAAAACATAGCACACAATACTTAGATTATTGATGAATACATAACAAAAACGTCCCTGAAACACTAATAATAATAATAATAATCTTTATTATCCGTATGGAAATTTGTTTTACAATTTGTGCATTACACCAAACAAAAAACATTATAAATATAAGAAACCAAAATGTACATTCACACCAGACTCCATGGGCGTAGCCAGATCCCCAGGTGGGGGGGGGGGGGAAAGATGTCGAATTTTAGTGACTGATCTTTTGCTTTAATTCAGAACCTCAGAATTTGCGCTATTCAATTTTAGCTTTATCATCATTAGGAATAGTTGGGCCTTAGGCCTCTTTTTTTTTGGGCTTAATATGCCTCTTTTATGGGCCATCTTGCCTCTTTTGTGGGCTTTTTTTTTTTTTAAATGTTTTTATTTGTAAGTTTTCATAATTCACAAGTGTTAAATCATAAACAATTGAAAAGTGATTAACCTAAAAATAGGCTTAACCTTTTATTACGGACCCCGACACGGTGACCTCCCTAGCTAATTTTAGAAAAGGAAGTTTATAAGATTACTATTCGTTTTAAATTAGGTCTAACTTATAATGCATACTAATTAGCTTTTTCTCTTTAAAAAAACTGCTTGCATAACTGATTTTAAAAAATTAGATTTTTCGCTTTCAGGAAAAAAAAAAGTAGCCGTTGCATCAGAGCTTTGAATGGTCTAAAATATTGTGATGTCGGATTTTCAATATCTTTTCTAGTTTACGAGATCTAAACGGGACAGACGGACAGACATTTTGCACAAAACTAATAGCGTCTTTTCCCCTTTCGGGGGCCGCTAAAAATTCGCAATCAAAATACTATGAGCGTAGCCAAGCCTATTGGGTGTTTTGAGTTTAAATTTCCCTTCAGAGGGGTTTGATGCTAAAAAATACATCTTCAATATATAAAAAAAAGCAAATTACACACTAAAATTCTTTGAGCGTAGCCAAGCCAATGGGGGAGGGGGGTGAGTTTCAACCACACTCTTCCAGATGGCTTTTTTAAAAGTTTAAAACACCTCAAGATATTTTGAGTTTAAAATCCCCATACAGAGCGTTTTAAGGTTGAAAGCCTCTCTCTTCAATATTATTTCTAAAGCAAACTACAGTCACCAAATTCTATGACCGTAGCTAAATGTGGTTTTGAATTAAAAACAAAACAACTCCAGATATATTTTAGTATAACCCCCCCCCACACACACACACACACAGATGATTTTGACGATAAAACTTCCCATTTCGATATAACATCTAAAGCAAAATAGTCACCTAATTCCAAGATCGTAGTCAAGAGACGTTACACATGTCTACCAGTGGCTGGGCTCCTTTAATAAAGTGCAATGAAATTGAAAAGAACTAAATGTGGCTCTACAAAGATGGCTAAGAAGGATTTTAGAGATCGGGTCTAAATCAAGGAAATCCATGCCGAACTGGGAGTCGACACCTTAGTAAGATTGCAACAGAGCGTCGCATGAGGTTTTCAGGACATTTTCTCCGACAAAATGAATTACGCATAAGAAGAGTTGCGATGACATCCTAGTACAACTTGGCGCCACATATTCATTGAGGTCCTCAGAGCAGGTGGGAAGAAGCTTCAGACATTACCAGTGACAGATTTTTGTGGAAACAGCTTGAAATGCGCCGAACGGCGCGGGAGGGTCTAAGTCAGTAAGAATAACACATTAGGTTTTTAAAATAAAACTTTTTAATAGTAGGAAAATGCACATTATAGATACCTCAGAATATGCATTATGTTGGCTTTCAATACCAGAAATAATGCTTGGCGCCCCGCTCTGGAGGAGCTCCTAACACTCCCCCAGACCCCTTGTTGGCAATGGCGGGGAGTCTCCATTTTTTTCACTAACTCCAGGAAGAACCAAATCTAGGACACAATAAACGTCTTCCGAAAGCACGAAGGGTCAGAATTAATAAAAAATTATGTACACACCCACACACATAAATACATATAAATATTTTGGCGCCGAAAAAAAATCCTGGCTACGCCCATGCCAGACTTACTCATAATTTACATGTGAAAAAGTTTATATCAGATTGTTCCTATTTAATTCTCTGTTTTGCAGGACCTATTCACATTCAGTAGTCAGTTCTTTAGTTTTCAGAAACATTAAAATCACAGTTCATAGTTCATGTCATATTTACTTTGACATCGACTTTAGCAAGTTTGATTAAATGCCATTTAATTTTTGAAGTCTGCTTGGATTAAAATTATGAACTAATTGTTTACGTCAGGTATGTCAAACTCATTAATGTGTATGGGCCACATAAAAATAAAAACTTACTATAACCTGAAGGGCCGCAGCCACAAATCAGTTGGAAAACATAGCTTATTAGTTTTATTTAAATAAGAAACAATACAATAGAATGCAATAATTAATGGTATACCTGTCCCTTAGTTATTATTATTAGTTTGTTTATTAGAAATTGCCATGATTACGCATTATTTTCATTGTCCTGATGCTTGACATCTTTTCTGGGATACAAGTTTATTAATGTCAGAAGTTGAAGTTTATTTGTCACTGACACTTTCATCACTGTTGACAAATTTCGATCAGATAATCTCGAACGGTGAGGTGTTTTTGTAGCTTTCATTATGGAAAAGAACTGCTCATTGAAAAAGTAGCACACATAGCAAGAACTCTGCAAATTTCCGAAATTCAACTACCGTTCAAATAAATAACTACAATTTTGTCACAGCCACTTCTATATACTTCCCTTTCAACAAAAATCTGACTGCATATCTATCAGCTCCAGTTGCACATTGTCAGTAGCATTTTCATGAGCCAATGAAGATGGAGAAACAAACAACGAAACTTCTTTTTGCTCGTATGAAACAAAGTTTCGAAAACGGTCATTGAAAGCATCGTATAACGATTCCAGTTGTAGGACACTTTCACCAAATGTTGCAGCTGTATTCAATCTTTTTAGCCCACGTTGAGAAGTGAACAAGGTTTTCTCTTCATATTTGGTTTATCCACAGTCGTATCTTTGCTTAAAAGCACTTCACATCATCACACGCAGTTGTGACAATTTTGTCTTTACCTTGAAGTTTCAAATTCAAGTCTTGCAGGTGACCAATGAGATCAACTACAAATACCAAATTCTGAACCCATTCGTTAGTTCGGAAATGTTCAACAGGTTCACCATTCAAATACCATTTCCTCACGCAGTGCAAAAAATGTATTCAATACTTTATAACAAGAGAGCCAGTGGACTTCTGTGTAGTAGGGAATACAATCAATTCCGTGTCCAAGCCAATGTCATCTAGAAACATTAAAAATTAGCCAGGTTAATTGTACTGTAATATCACTTCCTGTAATTTCTCTAAAACATCCTCGTGTTACGTGCGCATGTTAGTGTAAATGTGGAACGGTGCGAATACGTGTTAAAAGGAGAACCAAAATGGAGGAATAGAAACTAAATAGTGGTTTTAGTGTTCATGAAGATTATAATTAGTTATAATCTATGACGTTGACGTTTTGTGTTGTTGTATTATTAAAAGAGTCTCATCATATAACAAAACGTAACACCTCGCTTGTTGTGGTGTTTTGCATAGAACAGAGCTCAAGTCGTTCCTCGTGTATCTCAAAATTCCTGTCACAAGCCCTTATTAATATAGCCAACTGTGCTACATCCGTTACATTCATTGACTCATCGAGAGCCAATGAAAAGAATTAAAAAATCAGCCATTTTCTTCTTTTGTTTACGCAAGCTGACTGACATGTCATTTATTTTATCTGCCAGTATGTTCCTAGTGAATGTTATTGCTTTGAATGCGTTCACCTTTTCTGGACAAATTACTTCGGCAGCTTAAGCGATACACACTCCTTAATAAAAATCACCTTCACTAAATGATTTGTAACAAATAGGGCCTATAAGTAAAACTCTAACAGAT